TTTTTTAATTTTTTTTTTTTATTATTTTTCGTTGCTCACATAAAGAATTTCGAAAATTTAAGCATATCTCGCTTACGTACTGTACATGTCCTGATTTCAAATATTCCTAATTTTTTTGGTAGGAAGTTTTGAAATATCGCTGTTAAGATTACTCGTAATTTGTAACCATTTGAATGTTTTAATATTGTTTTTGTTGTTAATATATACATAAATATCATTACAGTTTTATCATAACATTAATTTTCTTATTATAATAATGTTCTTATAGTTTTTATAACAACTACTTTACCCTTGTGCAAATATTGCATTTCTTTTGTTAAACGATCTATTGAGTTTCCGTCTGACATCGTTTGCACATCAACTCTTCACGCCTGCGGTCATGATCCTGCAACTTTACTCAACACTTTTAAAATTCTTCGAGTTTTCATTTTCCATTTTAACTAATTAAGGAAGGAAGGAATTAATAGGAACTCAATGTCATTACATTTACATTTGCCAGTGCAAAAATAAACCAGTTGCAGTATTGTTTCTACGAATAACTGACCGAACTTGCTGGATTATTTTTACAAAATTTGGTTGAAAATATTACTGTTTTATAATATATAAAACGAGTATAAGTGGCCATTTAACAAATAGTTTCTCCCCTTTTATTATTATGAACATATAGGGGCATACATACATTCGTTCTGCGGACATTATTTTCAGATCTTAAAATCTTGCTTTTTTTATTTAAACTTAAAAAAAGAGAATTTCATACATTTGTAAAAAATTGTAAGTATTATTTGTCGCCACTTTGTTTAATTATTTCCTTGTATTTAATATAGTTAATACATGCAAATATGTATGTATATTTTGACCCATAACAACATTTTCCAATTGGCTGGCCATATTCCATACTAGCAACGTCTTCTCCACCCATTCAACGTACTCACGCATATATATATGTATATTGCTGACTATTTATTTACGTTTTACGGTTTTAATTCAATTATTTTTTGCTTCGCCTTAATAAATATAATTTTACCTTGTTAGAAATCGTTCATTCGTAAATGTTACTTTCCTATCGAATTCAAACTAAAAACGGTTTTATTTAAAACGATTGGACGCCAAAAAAATATTAAAATATAAAACAACTTCAGATTGAATGAAATATAAGTTTACTTTTTACTGTACATGTACATGGATACATATTAAATGTATGTAAAACGACTAACACATACTTACATATGTACATGCAGTCTGTGGATCCCTTAAATCAAAATCAATTCCCGCCAACATTATTAAATTATTAACTTTTTGCCGATATTTTTATTGCAAGTATCCAACGTACATGCATGCAATACATGCACTCATAGATACATCCTATGACCACCAACAATAACAGCAAAGGACAGCAAGAAGAACTGTATGGCACCGACAGCGCCTACACCTACATTTACATACGTGCACACATGCTTATGTAAATGCATACACAAATGTGTGTATGCATATGCGTACGAGAAGGAAAAGTTAATAAGAAGTATATAAATAAAAAATGAAAAAAACAAATCAAAGCAAAGCAAAGATAAGAATTAGGCAGTAAGCTACGTAAAATCGTCAGAATTTTCGGTATAGAATTTAATTCACATAAAAAGATACCGAAACAAATAGGTATATACATACATATATTTTTTTTTTAATCTCGTACAGTGCAGAAAATAATAATAAATCAAATTAAATAATATGAAAACATAAGAAGATTAATATTAATATTAGTGCAGCAAGCGTATATTTAAAAAATATAACACTTGCATTCGACAATTACGAAATAAAGTAATTATTTAAATTAAATTTTATTAAAAAGAAAACAAAGTGAAGTATAATTATAACAAAATGAGTTTTCTTTACAATTTTACTGTTATATACATACGTATGCGTGCGTGTATCGCGGTGGGTGGAATGAGTGTGAAGAAATATAATTTGAGTTATTGCTGTTTATTAAGGGGTAGTCAGAGGCAGGAAAAATTAGCATTTTTCAGTATTTTTTTGCTATTAAATCGTGTTATTTTACAAATGTAGTAATATGGCATTATTATGGAATGTGTTGACTTGAAGTCTCGAAAATTTCAAAAAAAAAAAAATATTAATTACCAAAGTTATAGTTGTTTGTGTTGACCCTGTTCCAAAAAAAGTTACTTGCGGTGACAACCATAAGTCCTTGGAGACTCATCTAAAATCAATCGGACAAAAAAATTAGTTTTATAAATAGATAATCCTGGGAATAATCGAATGATTTTTTGTTTATTTCAAAAATTAACAAAATGGCGGCCTTAGGAAATTTTTTTTCTAAATTTTTGGGAAAAAATCCATCGATCAGGTCCGAGTTTATTATGTATTCTAAAAGCCGTATAAATTTCATTAATATCTACTGGGCGGTTTTCGAGTTACAGTTGTCACCAATTCAAAGTTTTGAGACGGGTTTAAAGTTTCACACTAGCGCTTTGAAGTGCCCGAGTTCTCTTTGTTATTTGTCGAATAACTCAAAACCTAATTATCGCAACGTGAAATTTGCAGAGAATATTTTTAAGATAATACGCTTAACGAAAATTCAAAAAAAAAAAAAAATAATTGAAAATTCTGACTACCCCCTTAAACTATTGTTATCCAACAACTATTTTCAGATTTGTAGGGGATCCTAAGAATTAAAAATTCCAGAAAAGTTTTTGCTAATTATTTGTATCCAATAAAATTTTATTATCAGTTACGGTCAATTTCTAGAATCACTGAAGGAGAATGATTTACCCGTCAGCCGGTTCATGAATTGTTTCAAAATATACATATAAAATTGAAGCTACCTGAACTCGTGATCCATAGTGAAAATTAGTGAGCCGGAATTTCAAACACCATTTTGTAGACGTGCGAAATATTTCACGCGCCTAGTTTCTAACGTTCTGCTGTACTCGTTCTAGCTCTTACTTGATTGTTTTAGGTATAACAAGGTTTTGCTGATGTCTCGATATACAAGTATTTGTACTTTTTCTGTACGCGAAAGTATTTAGTATTAAATTCCACAATTGGCTAGTTTTCCTTATACTTACCAACGAAATGAAAGATAAAAACAATTATAAATAATATTTTTTATACTTTTACATGTAAAATACAATCTAGTGTTTATTTTAACGTACAGTATTTGTTCCAGGCTCTTCAACCTTTTTCATAAGCATGTGTGAATGGTTAAAGAGTTACCTGAATAGAAGTAGCGTTTCAGCAGGTCGTTAAGTCTTTCGAAACCTTTTTTTTTACCTGTGAGAAAGTCCACTTCAACAGTGCACTCGTTTGTAGTTTGATGTATGAATAGTGCCGTTTTTCAAAACAACAACTTTAATTTGCTTACAATAACCTATTTAAATACACCGCACTTCCTAGAAATTCCGAAAATTTCAAAAACGTCATTAAATAGTTCCAGACTGTACTGACTGAACTAGATAGCGAATAAAGGGGAAAATACGAACCGGAACATTACCAACTCTTGGAATGGACTTGGAATATCGTAAAATCAATGAATTAATTTCAAATGGCTTTCCTTTAAACCAGCGAGAACAGAGTACAAGTAATTAAAAAAATTGCATTCTACTGCAAATTTGATCATTTTAAACTTGGAGTTTCAATTTTATTGCGTTTTTTTAACGCAAACTAAGTATTTCAAAAGCTTCCAAGTCCGCTGGATGATTTCACTTCATTTACTCTACAAAAATTGCTCCGTTACTTCCTCTCTTGACTACTACTAACTTTTCGAAACGATTTTTTGAAAGAGTATATTCCAGTGGACTAGAAGGAATATCCATTTCCAAATTACGCAACCATTCGATAATTTATATTTGTGTATTCACTCAGAGATATCATATGATAGACGTTCTACGTATAAGTGTATGTATCTCTGTTCACTTTTTAAAATAAAACTAACAGGCTTACATACTTTTAGGCGCACAAAGTTTGTACTGAAGCACTGCACGCTCATTCAATTTTATTTCCGATTTCCAAAGCTTTCAATCACATTTAATTTGAAATATCTCGAAAAATTCAATAATGTAAGCAAATTTCTTTCAGCCAAAATCAATCAAATCAAATATAAAAAAAATATAAAAATTGCATTGATCACCAAACGTTGTGACTATGAGCGGAAAAGTAGGACCACTATCGCGTATCTACAATGGTATGATAGGCACCGCAGATAAATTTGTACCGACGTCCATGCGTCCGCTGTGGGAACATCCAGCAGGTGAGCATACCCGACTAAAGGAAAAACATGTTTATTTCGACTGGACCTTTGGCATTTGGGGAATTTGATTTCTTGATAACATTTTGAACACTTCGCTTTGTCAAACGAAGGGTGTTCACATTAAATTATAACACGATTATCAAGATTTCGCGGATTGGACAATGATTGCTGTTAGACTTTACGCATACAAGTGGATTGGCCACAAAACTACGTCTAAATTGAGATCCTTTATGAGGGTCCATCGGGCTTAAGTTGACGTTCGGCAACGATTGCGTTCGTAGAAATGCGGTTGCCCACAAAAATAAAGGCAGGTGGCTTCTCAATCCAGATAATAGGTTATGCTGTTTATCGGACACACTATCGCTGGTAACATCATTGTGAAGAATGCTGAAGAATCAAAAAGGGGGTTATGTAAAGTGGAATCTTCTTCACACCACTATCTATCTCGAAGTATGTATGATATTGAAATATGTTTGAAAGTTAATAACGATCACCGCACCGGTTTTCGCTTTTTCAATGTCAGTAGCCTTAGTCTATCCTCTAGTAAATCCCTAGCTACTCTATTTATAAAATGGATAAGGGAGTGCAATGCAACGGGTCAGAACAAGATCTCCAAATCGCTATCCGACAGCACTCCGGTCAGATCTCGAATGAAACCAACACGAAACGCCATTGACGGTGGAGCTATCAACACCTTGGTCGAATCCTCCCAGTGAATGGCGTGTTAAGGATCAAACCAACTCTCATTGCTGAACAAGAACTCCAGTTGAGAATACTGCGAGCTAAACTCTTACATATCCAGAATTCAATCTTGCATGCAAAGAGTCTTCACATAACACTATCATCTGTTTTCATGCGCTATGAAACCAGCTAATCTAACATCCTTCTAAATATGATACGAATCCGTGAAAATCGCACGCTCTCTCTTTAAATACCCTTGCTTGACTCTGATTATATTTAATTTGCAATTCCCTCTCAATGCTACAACAACAATAACAACTCGAATAAAACCGGCTTTAATGCTCTGAAATAACGTTCCTAACATTTTAGGTCCGAAGACAGTATTCTTCTGGGCACCGATATGCAAATGGGTAACTCAATATTTCACTTTATGTTATTATACGTATATCTTATTACAAATGTGTGTGTGAAACATTCCAGGCACTCGTCATTGCTGGCATTGGAGATATGAACCGTCCCGCTCATTCTTTATCACTGAATCAATGTGCAGTTATAGCCACAACTGGTATAATTTGGTCTCGGTACTCGCTGGTCATAATCCCTAAGAACTATTCCTTATTCATGGTAAATATGTTTGTCGCAACTACACAGCTATACCAAGTGGCACGCGCCTTAAATTATCAGTATGGCTTAAAAGATAAATCGGAGTGAAGTGTGTTTTATAAAAAAAAAAAATTAATATTGGTCATTCAAGTCTGGTGGGAATGAAAATTTATTGATCGTAAAAAGCACCCTTTGGTCGGTGCTCAACTTGAAGAATTGTGAGAAATAAGTCGAATAAATCCAAAATCGAATAGAAGCCAAGTTCAAAACAAGTGGAACAAAAAATTATCGCATTATATAATCTTGTTTTATGTACTCGAATTAGATATTTTCAGTGAGTTGTGCTGTCATCAATGTTTTATACTTATTCGGCTTCGATATAAATTAATCTTTAAATGTATTTTTTAGTAATAGCGACTATTCCCAAAAACAATTATTTTTTAAATTGTATTTTATAACAGTAAAAGGTAACTTTAAATAAAATTCACAATTTTTCAATTAATAACAGTAACACATTTTCAAGTTCAAAGATATTTTTTTTTACTGAGAACTAAAAGCAGACAACCAATAACGTTTCATCTAACCAAAACATAATTGAATAATAAAGTAAGATCCAAATTAATTAAGTGTAAATTAAGGAGTTACACATTTTTTAAAATATTATATTATTCGTTATCAAATTTTTCTATTACTGATATTATTCAACAAAAGCGTAGCGCTCATAAAAATAATTGGTTCCACTGTCGTGAGTCTCACAAACACAGTCTGTTCCACGTGTAGCAGTAATCTTGGCGTTATACTCATCTTTTATATGAGCGGTTTATAAATGTAGTGGTGATAAAGCATACTTTTTGCATGGACATACACCCATGTTCATATATTAATATTTATAATAAAGGGTTTCACAACGCAATTAGTAACCCTGAGACTCAAAGTGTATTACATTTCAAGTTAGTCGGTTTACCGATCATAACTTTTACTTTTTTACTTTTACTGAGTAGACAATAACATGTGTGGTTAGCAGCCATCTGTCAGTTAAGTTCTGCTTAACTTAATCAAAACTCCTTTCGATAATTAACCTGTTTTGAACTATAACTTAACTGACAGACATTGAGAAATAAAATATCACATGTTGAAATACCTTGAATTTCTGTTTCAAACAAAAAAAAAAAAAAAACAGCTGATTTATTTAATAAAGAATGAAATATTCACAAGTGTATGCTAATTTAAAAGTTTACCGAGTATAACACTAAACAAATCGGTGTTAAAATCCCCAGTACAATTCTATATCAGATAATCCTCGAATCATAAAATCTCAAAGAGCAAAACTAGTTATCTGACAGGTAAGTACGTCGGTAGCTACGACTGCTCAAACGACTATTTACATATGTCCATACATATATACTAACATATAGAAGCGAAATCTTGTTTTCTACAGTGCCGTGATTGCTGCTTTGCGATTCAATAGCGAATAGCGCATGTGTTTTCGCTGGCTGCTAAGAGAGTGAATGAGTCTTTATGCGTATATTATGTATTTTTGTTTTCTAATTATAAAAACAATTTTGTATTAAACGTACTCATTTGCTAAGTTGTTTCTGTTTGATTTTTATTAGCGAATTTTGCTTACGTTAGCAACTTTGTTAGGGTAAACTTTGTAACTAGCTGAGAATTTTATTTGATGGCAATGAGAGAGGTTAATTTTTATATTCGCTAATTCAGTTGGTATTGGGTTGTTGTGCTGGAATGTAATTAAATGTGGTTAGATATTTAAAAAGTACATATGGTATGGTGATTAAGTCCGTTTTTTCTCGTTAAAAGTGAAAAAGAAAAGTTATTTCAGTTTTTGGTTATTTTAAAAGAAACTCCAACATGTGAATTATATTTTATATATTTCACATTTGTTAATATGTACATATAAGGCAGAAATGAGTCGATGCTCTCTCAATTTATAATTCATAAGTGACAAGCAAATTTTATTTCCGTAGCGCGCACTTTTCAGTTTATTATTGCTGCAAAATTTTACTCAATTTGATAGCGTTGCAGCTGTTTGCATTTAGTTTGATTTTTTATTTTTACTCACGGAAATTGGCAGCAGCCAACAATTGGGTGTGTGTTTTTCTAATGATGCATTGCGCACTATTTTTTTTACGTTTTGTGCCATGCAGCCAAGCAAGTGACTGCAGTCTGTCGCTTTCTTGAGACATTACAACACTAGTTGGCCATCAAGGTCAATGTTGTGCATGTGACGTCAAAATGCGTGTTGTGCTTTCCGGTAGTTGTTGTGCATCATCGGAAATGTTTCGAAGTAGTGTTTTAAATAGCTATATAACTATATGTACGTATGTATATCTCACATACTGTATATGTACATATCTTATTAAATAATTCGTACCCTACTCAGTGTATGATACATAATATACATATGTATGTATGTATCTCTCATTCTACGGATATATTTTTTGCCGAAAATTGTCGATAAATATATAATAATAATATATGGAACGTGTTTTAATCTTACACACCAAATTATGTAAGAAAAATAATGCTGTAAATTAAAAAGAAATAAATCAAATCTAAAATATAATTGTGAATTTTCAAATTTACCGGAGGTAATCATATCAGACAAATATTACATTCATTATAATATAATAAAAAGATGCTGTCTAGACCGATGAGAATACCATTTGATTCTTTGCTGAACTTCTAAACATTCTCATATCACTATTACATATGAACATACTTGTAGGGTATATATTGTTTTAAGTATGCTAAACAGTATGCAAATTTTGTATTTACATAACGAAGGAATCAACAAACGGCCTCGACTCGTTCATTTCCACAGCTCGCTCATTCTTGTAGAAATTTACTTATACATACATATGTACATGAATTTGTTTATAATTTGACAGTGAAACACTTTGGTACACAGTTAATCAAACACCCACTAGCACTGAGCGCTCTCATTCCTTTAAACAAATGTGTTAGCTTTTCACTCTCTGAAAGCGCGTCACTGTCACGCATATTCCGAGTGACGAGCCTCTCACTAGTGGTCACACATTTCTCTTGTATTCACCTATGTTTACATGCTTCTATACATATAAACCAGTACATTTCTTTTCTATTTTTGCGAATTACCTTTCATTTTCATATTTCTTTACTCCGTATTTAGATTTCAGTTCTTCACTATCTGGCAAACGGTGAGGAAGTCAACACCAGTAATTGTTCAAGTAAGGTACCTTGTATACCTTGCCTTTGGGATTAAGTTAGAAAATTGTAAATACGAGTAACTAATACAAAATATCTAATCTCAAACGAAAGAAAAGTCTGAAACAAGTGCTTAGATAACAACAATAAAATGGCTTCCTCAGCACCTCCAGCAGCAGCACCACCACCACCACCTCCGCCATCAGCCACTACCGCTGGCAAAGGATTTCCCAACAAAATTTACAATGCTCTTATTGGCTCAGTGGACAAACATGTGCCCGAAAAGTTGCGACCATTGTGGCAGCATCCAGCTGGTAAGTGTTATTGTTATACATCAAAACACTTTAATTGGAATTAGACATTTGATATTCCTTGCAGGACCAAAAACTGTTTTCTTCTGGGCACCACTTTTCAAATGGGTAAGCGTTTCAGGCAAATATTGATATTAGTATTTTGCAAACGACTATTTTATAAAAGTCTTACATAATCAGCGAAAAAAACGAAATAAGGATAATAACATACGAATCTGTATGGGGACAGTTTATACTCGCTGTATTAATCAAGTATTAATTCACATTATCAGCTCATCCTCAAATATATGTTATACAATTTCTTATGAGTGGGTAGTGATTTTATTTAAGTGAGCCAATGATCTAGTGATTTTCGCCCAGTCATATCTCATCCACTCAACTGATAAGGAAGTGATAATCATATTAGCAGACAGTGCAGCATGATTGGTTATGAAATTGCACGCGTCGTGTATAATAAACTAAAGAAGCAACTGTAAATATTTGCCTGTCTGCTACTGTCGCTTAAGACGTATGTATGTATGCCAATTTTTATACTCTTTCAACATGTTGCTATAGCGTATAATAGTTTTGTTCACTTAACGGTTGCGTGAATCACTAATCGAAATAGATATGGAGTTATATACGGACAGAGCTCAAACTTGATGAAACTTGGTAAACCTGTTTTTTGGTTTTGCAGATGGGCGGAATCGGACTTGCCACCTCTACCAAGCGCCATTCGTCGAAAGGCTTTAAAGTGCCATAACTAAGCCCCACAATAAGGTTAAAGACTGTTATTTAGTACAACTGAGTCATCTATGATTAATTTTTTTTTTTGTTTAAAGTAGGCGTGTCCACTCATTCTAATAAGTATAATATAAATATCTCCTAAACCACTGAAGCTATATTAACCAAGTTCGTTCAGGACAAATCCTTTTGGCAACCCTAAGTCCTCTGTGAAAATGGGTGATGGGATTATAACCCCGCCCAGTCAGAAATCAGACAAATCCATATAACACAATTTTATATTCCATCTGATTTATCGGTCAATCTGTGAGATTTATAATTGAAATTCGAAGAAAATTCATTTCTCAAAATAACGTACTCGCACATCAAAAATATGTTTAATCGCATTAATAATCTCCATTAAACCCAATTGAAAGACTTTCGAACTTTCGGCTTACTTCATACTGAATATATCGGTCAATATCTGAGTTATCTAATAATGGTGTAACTTGCCTTAGGCCCTATATAACTTATATCAGGGTTGACTTTAATCCGTATACTTATATTGTTGATGGTATGTGAGGTACCTCAATGAAACTGAGAGAGTCTAAAGTACGAGTAGAACGTGTAATATTGAATTTACCATAGTTTAATTCCGAATTGGTTTAGACTTTGGTCCAAACCTTATATCCTTTGTTTGACGTTTTGCACATCATCTCAATATATTCAATTTAACCCCTTTCGCTAACGGGAAAACATAGTCATCAAGCTAATTAATCTCTGACCTATAGTATAAATTAATTAAATAAAAATTTGATTATAATCCAAACAATGAATGTTAACTTCTTCGCAACTTTTTTTAAAATAAAGTTTTGCCAACGGCGGCTTTGATTTTTTAAAGTTGCAATAGTAAGAAACGTTCGGGTACATCCAAACTTAGCCTTTGCTTACTTGTTTTCTAAGATTTTGTTTGATTTATTTAATTGTTATATGAGTTTTAATAATATTTTTTAGTTAGACAAACATCGTATGGAATCATATAAAATTATTATTACAACTACTACATATACATATGTACATATCTATTATCATTATTTTGAGGTGTTACGTTAGGTAATAATGTAATAATGCAAGTATGTGTCTGTAGGAAATGCTATAGCATTTAAATAACTATACTACCGTTACTTAATTTCTTGCTAAGG